CGGAATTACGAAGTCGAACCGATAGAAATGGTAGTGTAAGTGATTTTTACCACCGTTCACTGCGCGAGGATCATATTTACTAACAGACAGATCTACTTGAAAGACGTCTTTCCAGGTTGTGGGTTTTGTATTGTTCTTAAACTCTTGTGTGCCTGGAGAACGTTTGTGATGTCAGAAAGGTATTGGGCAAACTTCACTTCTTCTTCGGTCGTTCTCTCAGACCAAGTCAGGCGTCGGTCTCCAAATATTACTGCTTGTATGCGAGGTCCAAAACAGCAACTGGTAGTCAACTGAGGGGAAGTTGACTCGTAGCGAGAGGCAGCGAATTTATTGCTTTCTCAGAAATGAGTTCATAGCGAGCAATTCCTTCTCACAATTTACCAGCCAACAACGAACCAAGAAATCTGTGATTCCAGTGGTTAGTACTGTTTGAGGTAAGTTCCGTGTTGCATTTTTGAGCGTTCGTTCCTTGTCTGGCAAGTGTAAGTAGATTATGTCTGCCGTGAGTCCCGTTGGTACAACCTGGGTACACTGGCGGTCACGAAGCTCGCCTCCCGAGGAAAGGGACACATGACCTGTAGTGCGGGTGGTCACTTTTTGTGGTCAGACCACAGCAGTGGCGAAGTACACCCATCTGAATGATCCTCATTAACTGTGGCGTTCGCCAGAGAAATGTTTTCTTGTTAGCCGTTCAACATCAGTCTCGACCTTCTTCTCTGAAACAGTGTTGGCACTTGCACAGACGAATGTTCCAATCTAGAAGGAAGGAGCAGTTCAAGATATTCAGCCAGATATTTTGCTATTCAGGAGCACGCAAATGAAATTCTCCTGGTGAGTGATACTGGAAGTGCGCTGTGTTACCGAACGTCCGTATACAACACAGCTGCTAAAACTGGCCTTTTCCTTAATGCCCGCAAGTAAGAAGTTATGAGGAACTCATCCGACACAGATGATCCATAAATGGAACTGGAAGGTGATGCGTTTCAGGAGGTTGAGCATTTTAAGTATTGCAGCGTCATCATTTCCAACGATAGTACTATTTAAATTGGAGAATCGCCCAACCTCGAGTACCTTTTAAAACTTGTCCAATATTTGGGCTGATAAATAAGTTACCATTCGCGCGAAAATCGTCTTTAACTTGCCTCTGTTAGGTCAGCGTTGTTGTACGGCATAGTAATTCTAACGAACAAGCAAGAACGACTGTTCAGCTACATGCAGCAGCTTTGACTTCGACGCATAATGAAATTAAAATGGCAGGACCACGTAAGGAATCATCCAGCTTTCTGCTGAGCACAGATGGGTGCCCTCGGTAGATGTGAAGATTATGAAAAGGTGATTGGACCTACTAAACAAACTGATTGAGCGTACACCATTTTTTCCAGCGAGTGACCTTCTCGTATGGTAGCCGAAACACAGCAGGTGTCGACCAGGAAGCCAGCATGCAATATGGAGGAATAGGATGGAGGTGGATCCACTTTTGAAGAGTTGTATTTCCTTCTGCTATTCAGTAAGCGGTATCTTAAAGCGGAAGTGTTGAAAAACTGCGGATACAGCGGGAATCGCAAACCAGACACCTTCATGCTTATGCGAACGGCTCAAGGCAATGATTGCAACAAACGCACGGACGCGTCTCTTAAGGGATTTGAGACTTTTGTAGTTTAGTCGGCTTCAGGCGAGACAATGCTGGAAAGTTGTAAGTTTTAGCCCCAACCGGGATCACTTGACTTTTGTCATTCTGAGGTAGGTAAATGAGTATCTCTGTGTGAAACAGAAAGTGAGGGTTAGTTACAATTTGATCAGAGTACTTCGGCGTGACCGGAAGCCACATGGCCCTTCTTGCACCTTGGAGTCAGCTCTTCCCCAGCACCTCCTCTCAAACACTTTGCATAGGGTTTACCTTGGAAACCCAGTAAGTTAATGCCTCAATAACTGAATCATTTCCTATGACCTCTATGCTTGAACAGGAACCAACTCAGTTCTCCAGTCAGCTGGCGTCTTGCCAGTTGTCTTTGCAGTTTTACAGACTGATGATAGCCACAACATGCCTTGTTCAGCTAACATATCTCACCTCAGCAACTGACTTCATAAATACAGCATTCCTGGATGATCGCCTATTAAAGAAAATTAACAACATGCCACAGGTGCTAAGCGGGAAGGATCATCTGATTATCATCCGTCATGCAAATGTCAGCTCTGACATCTTAGTCGTTAGAGCGTCTGACATCGAAGTTTTTTAGAAGCGAGAGGTTGTCAGTTCGATCCTGATTTGACAGATCACCTTTCTTTATTTTGAGGTAGATAGATGAGTGCAGTTGCTTACGAACGAAACAAAAGCTGTCCGATATAACAGTGACCATGTTGTAAATGTGGCCTAAGGTACAGCAATAAGGTTCTTATAGCTAATGGCACAGAAACAGCATTTAGCAACGCATCATAAGCTTCATGAAAAGTGCCTCAAGAGTACCTCAAATGATATGATCCAATCATAAACACGTACCAGAGGCCGACTACCTAACGGTGAGAGACTTTCCCATTCTTTTTGAAATGCCATCCAAATCCTTGCTGTTTATGAATTTTTTCTTTTATTTGTTATTTTAGATGTTGCTTAATTTAACGATTTTACTTATAGGTTACGGTGGTTTAAG